CGACACGACAGCAAGCTGAGGCCGCCAACAAGAAGACTGCACTTCACCCGAACAGGGACTTGAACCTTGGACCCTCAGATTAAAAGTCTGATGCTCTACCGACTGAGCTATCCGGGCTCTTGCACAGAGAATGCCTCTTACGTTTTATATAAGAGCAGTTTTCCTACAGACCGCCCAGAAGAAACTCATTTGCCACACGCGCTATGGGATGAAAACCACAAGCAATTATGGCAGAGAGAAAAAAAGGACAAAGGCCTTAGAAGAATTGTCTCCACAGAGTGCGGTACAGCAAACTCCAACCGTAGCCGGCAGGGTTCAAACCTGCATGGGGAGACCCCAGTGGATTTCAAGTCCATCGCCTTAACCTCTCGGCCATGACTACGTCTTGCTGCTCCCTTCCTGCTCTCTTGTCTGGTGGAGATCAGCAAAGGCCAAGCTTCAAACACAAAATCCAGCTGAAGGATGAGGTGAAAAAAAGGGTTCAGCCGTCCCCATTGCTCAACGGCAAAGGGATGCCGTGACCCGGATTTGAACCGGGGTTGCTGTGGCCACAACGCAGAGTACTAACCACTATACAATTTTTTATTTTTTATTTTTATTTTTTTATTGAAAATTGTTTCAGAACAAAAATACATCTTTCATTTTCTACATTAAAATACATCAAAGTTTACAAATGTTCGCATTAAAGAACCATAAACAATCATCCCATAGAAGGCAGTACAGACATTCAGATTCAAAAGCCCTTAAAACAAAATCATAATCTCTTATACAGTCATATTTTTCAAATTGTTTAAAAAGAAGATATCCAAACCAAAGTTATTAAAAACCTTAGAAACATCTGGAGTAAAAACATCGTAATATTCAAACATTTTGTCTTCTTGATAAAAGTAATAAAACAGATATTTTGCGTATATTTCCACCTTTCTTTTAAAAACGTACCATACATTCATTAAAATACTTTCTCTTTTCACTACTACTCTTCTTTCCCATATTGCACTTTTCATTAATATTACCAGCAGGTTTATAATTTTTTTATTCTTACACTGTTTATCGAGCCCCAACATCACAACCCTACTCCATTCAATATCCTCATTTTGTTCTCCCAT